TTATATCTCCTATTATATAATATTATATACATATAAGGGTAAAAAATAAATTTAATTAAATATAATCACGTTGAATAAAATGTAATAATAAATTATAATAACTAAAATTATACTACAGCAAATACTGATGTCCAGATAAAGTATTGAAATTATAAAATGCATGTAATACATATTTATTTAATAAATGTGCTGAAATGAAATTTAGTGGCTTCCATGGTCAAGAGTAACATTATAGGTTGGGGAATATCTTACGTTTCACATTCAGCTTATTTCAAACATTTTTAGTGATAAATACAGTGGTGAGTGCGCAGTTTATGGCACACAACGACGGAAAGTGATAATGTCGTACAAAAAAAACTTTTACGACACCAGCACTGGTTTTCTGGCAAATATGGCGGCACCGTAGGTCTTTCCTAACAAAACGAAATGTTATCTCAGTAATCTTGCTTAAATCTCTATTTAAATATCAAACATTTTCAAGCTGTTACAATATCGTTTTCTCTCTCGTCATCTGCCATGTCTGGCTTTATGGAAACAGGTTTGTAATTTGTTGATAGTGACTGTGAACGTGTTGTTTTTCTAATATTCGGCCGCAAAAAACAACTAACTTATAAGACAGTTGTTTGGGTTAACGAACACTGTTTTGATTTGATTGTATCAATAATGCACCGTATACATATTATGTATTATGTTAAATATAATTTACATTATGAGAAATTCATTATGCTATTTCAAATAAAAAGCGTTGCTAACTAGGCCTGTCGCAATCAATATATCGACTTATCGCGCAATTTATGTACATGACCTCAATAATTTTTGGTGACGTAATATATCGCCCATTATATTTACTTAAACATTAATGTTACCATGTTTTGTACATTCCACTTGCGCCTGTGTCTTTTGCAGCTTCTCGTACATAACGTGGTGTAGTCATGAGGTGCTAGTTCAAATTTAAAAAATGCTTCTACAAAAGAAGTTTCATCTGCAGATATGGTCTTGTTTAGGGATCTGTGCCTTTGTGCATATGGACATCTGACTGCTAAGTAGTGATTGTGTTTCTCAGCAATAGTGTGCACCCTTCATTTACAGAGAAAAGAAGGTCAGGGGAAAATCTGTAGATGGAAAAATCTCCATACAAGTTCTTTGTGCATTTTACTTTTTTTCTACTTGTTACTTTGCACTTTTTGTTAGATTTAAATGTTTAAATTTATTTACTATTTAATCAAATTTTTTAAGGTATCTAATATTTTGACTTAATTTCCATGATCTAAATATTAAGAATTTAAAGTTTGTCGTCATTTAAAGTGTGTAGGCCTTCTTACATTATTATGCTGTTATATTATGATTATATATGCAGTGGCATAAAATGGTCTTAAAATGACTATCATTTATTGCAATTATTTCTGGGGCAATATATCGCACAACAAAAAGTTGTTATCGTGACAGGCCTATTGCCAACCTTTAAAATTCATACTTGCACAGAGGAGCAGGCAAGACACCGTTTCCAGCTGGAGTTGGAGTTTGTTCAGTGCCTGGCGAACCCAAACTACCTGAACTGTAAGTGAAAAACTGACATTGTTTTTATTGTTTGCTTATTTGAAATACTTGGTTACAGTAATTCAGATATGGAAATAATTCGGGTAACTAAATTATTAATATTAACTAAATTTATATTAAACATTTTATTTCTATGGAGATTTTGAAGATTGGTCTTGAGTATTTTCACGCGTTGTGGGTTTAAATCTGTCTTTAAAATATCTTGTTTTTCATCCTGCAGTTTTGGCTCAAAGAGGTTACCTGAGAGAGAAGCCTTTTGTCAATTACTTGAAGTATCTGCTTTACTGGAAAGAACCAGAATATGCTAAATTCCTCAAGTAAGTTCATGTTGTACTTTTTTTTTTAATCTTAGTTACATTTTATTTTGTAGACTCATGTCATGTGAAAATTAATAAAGAATTATCATAAATGTATTATATATTCTTATATGGTAGACCTCAGCTGACAGAATAGTTAACTATTCCTCAGTAAACTATTCCTCAGTAAACTATTTTTCCTCTCACAGTGATTGTCATATTACACTCATGCAGTCTAAATCTTTTATTTCCTTAGATATCCTCATTGTCTGCACATGTTAGAGCTATTGCAGTATGAGCATTTCAGAAAGGAGCTGGTGAATGCACAGTGTACCAAGTTCATAGACGAACAGCAGATCCTGCACTGGCAGCATTACTCACGGAAGCGGACACGCTTGCAGCAAGCACTCGTGGAGCAACAGCAGCAACACCAGCCACAGGCTCCATCCCATGGCAACACCACATCCAAATGAGGCAGTCAACATGCTCCTGCTGGGAATTACTCTTTCACAAAAATCTTTTTTGTAAATAGTCATTTTCAAATGGGATTTTTCCAAATTTAAATAGGACTTTGACTTTTAGACTGCTTTCTGTAGGCCCATAATGTTGTGTGTGTTTATGAACAACTGGAGATAAAGGTAAAAGAGCTTCAAAAAAGGTAAGAGGAGAGTGATTAGTTTGATGTCTTACAGTTGCTTTTGCATTGTAAAAGAAATCACGTTTATGAACTGAAATGTATTTAAATTCTACATCAAACTTTGTTTCTTTGTTACCAGCTCCACCTGTTATATGCTTTACCTTATATATATAAGATAATTGTATTATGTTTATGTGTGCATTTAGGACAAAAACAGAAACCCAAATAAAAAAAATAAAGAAATTTTTAATGGCAATAATTCTATTGCATGACTATCTAAAAAAATGTTTTAATTAAATAGGGAGGGAACAAATATTTGTTTCCACTGTCTGAACATTTTTATGGAGTTTGTTCAAATTATTGTTTCTGCATGCATTGTAATACTATATGATTTTTTTTTTCTGTAAGAAAAACATCTGCCAAGAACAAATATAAAGTTGTTTATATGTGTGTGTGTAAAGGTGTCTTTTAAACAGGGTTCCCACGCTTCTTGAAAGTACTTGAAAGTGCTTGAATTTCAGGCATATGGATTCAAGGCCTGGAAAGTACTTGAAAACAAACATAGGTCCTTGAAAGTGCTTGAATTAAATTTGAAATAAATGTTGTTTATGGCGCTATTTAAAAAATTGTCCTAAATGTTCTGTCAAAGACCGAACAAGCGGCACTAATGATTGGGGGTGGAGATGGGGGAGCAAGAAAAAAAAAACTTGTGTGTTGATGCGCGGACAGTTTTCTTAAGCCCGCTCTCGCTGAATTTCTGAGCATTACCGCCCACTCCCGCAACGTGTGTATCACGCTCCCGCAAACATTCTTATTGTATATATTTCATCAACGAAAATGGTACCAAATACAGTAACAGCTGAGCCGCTGCGCATCTCTAAAAGCAAACACAGCCGAGTTTCATTCATGAATGAAAGTGCGTTTTTGAACGAATCTAGTGAGTCAGTGATTCATGATTACCCATACATAAAGATTTCATTCCTGAATGAATCAGCTGTTCAAACAAATCAATTGAATGAATGATTCAGTGATAAAGTCAGTGACTTACTGCCACCTGCTGGTGGATTTAGTTTAATTTTTAGCGTATAAATTCAGTTATTTAAATCATTTAATATTTCTGTATTCAAAATTTTATATTTAAAACATTAATCTTCACACGAATGTATGAATTTAATTGCACCCATGCCCGCCATTGCAAAGGTAAAAAGAAAATACTCCTGTAAGTCACTTTAAGCAGTCAAATGTCAGCTCGTATTAGGAAGGCTAATTTTTGATCCGAATTTTTTGAATTTTTGATTATTGATCAGAAAGTGCTTCTATTTTTTTTTTTTTAATTAGAAGGACAAGCCCTCCTAAAAAGAAAAGTAAGCATAGAGTGTATCAGAGAAAGCTGAGAGTGTAACAGTATATTAGATCCGTGCATGAGGT